AATATATTTGTACATCTATTTATGCTTGCTGTTTTTTCGATATATTTTTTTCTGTTTCATACTCTAATTTTCTGTATACCTTTAAATTGTGTTGATCCTTTTTTCGCCAATCCTTTTCATATGCAAACCTTGTGCTGGCCGAATTCCCGGAAAAAAACACGGCCCTGTGTGCATTTATACATCATCGCCGTCAGCGGCCGTCTCTTCAAAGCGGCGTCATTGACATGGTAGCAACAGAGGCTTGACTCGCTGGCAAAATATTTTTCCTTTTCCATCACGTCCGCGGCGTTTCGTGTTTTTGGCATCGATTCCATGCTGTAATGTGATTCCGATTCCGTTTCCGAGATAAAAAAAAAAAAAAAAAAGATCCATGAAGGCTGGATTGCGCACTTCGAATATTGAATACAATCGCGGTCGACAAACGCGATGTCAGAATCTGTTCAGATCTAAGGTTTGTATAATATATTTTGCATGTTAAGAGATGCGTCGGCCGTTGCATGATTGGCATCCCAATCTCTGGCATTCGGAGCCCGGGGAATTCTATTCTCTTTGACGCCGGCGACCTCTGCTTGAGAATAAATGTAATGGCGTCTCTTGCTATAGACCCGTAAAAGAAGAAAAGCAACAAGAAGACTGATAAAAACGTAATATGGAAACACTAGTCACAGAAACGCATCTCATAAGACACAGGCAGAGGTCGGGACGGTCCAAGAGTTGCGGTGAAACCATTGTTTTCGCATCGGCCGCGCCATATGGGCCGTGGGATATTTGTTCCATATATTGCCCGGATCAAAACACACCAGTCGTGGAACTATGTCAGAGGGTTATTGCTGCCGCGACGCCATTCTTCCGAGGCGTCGAGCGGGCGTGAGGGGCATGACAGGGCCAACCCACCTCCAGACTGGACGTGGCACAAGGAGCGGAGGGAGGCACCGCGGATCAGCTGTTTCGCAGTCGAGGTCCCGGCCAAGTGTCCCTAACCCTTTCGATATTCACACGTCTTCGCGTTGTAGTATTTCTCTGGGACCGTTTGGGGAATATTGACGGTGTAAATATTGATATTGGTCGTTGGAATGAAGGTCGCGGGATAACGGGCAGCGTAATACTGGAAGTATAATATTGACAGTGACAGTATCAGTGGCAATTATTTCCGTCGTCGTAATGTTGGCAGGTATGTTAGTATATCGAACGAACATATCGACCATGCATGAAATATGACAAATTGCCCAACAAAAGAATGCGCTTGCTGACATGGAAATTAAATTCATCACAGCTAAAATAGAAGCAATAAAGCCAGACAAAAAAATAGATATTTTACGTCCCACGATACCTACACACAATCCATATTTTTTCATCTGTTGTTCATAATGTCATTTATGTTCGGCCAACATTCAGTGTAACAGAATATTTAGTTGATTATTTACTGTTGCTTCAAAAACGTAATAAAATATCAGTGTTAATAACAAAAGGGGAAAACTATTCTTTTTTGTTTTCACATTATTTTAAAAAAATGTAGCCTAATTCACTTATCATAGAGCAAATGATAATAGTAATAATAATAGTAATAACAATGAAAATAATGATGACATAGAGATAGTGATAATAATAACAACAACAACAATGACAATAACAATAATTGATATTATTACAATAATAGCAATGGTGACGACGAGGACGATGATGATAACAATGATGGTGATGACGAGGATTAAAGTTATAACAAAAAGGATAATTTTGATAATAATAGTAAATAATAATGATAATAACAATAATGATAATAATAATAGTAAATGATAATGACAATTACAATAATAATAATGACAATAATGATAACAGTAATAATAATGATATATCAGCTACAAAACCAACAGCAACAACAATATTCATAATAATAATAATAAAAATAATGACAATAATCATGATGAAATTATAACAATAATGATAATGGTGGTCATAGTAATAATTATGATAATGATATCAACAACGGTAATGATAATGGTTGCAATAATAATAATAATCACAGTAATAACGAAAATGGTCATGATAATGATGGTGACGGTGATGATGATAAAGATGATGATGAAAATGATAATAATGATGATGATAATAATAAAGATGATAATGATGATGGTGGTGGTAGTGGTGATGACGATGATGATCATGACGATGATGCTGACGATGGTGATAACAATAATAATGATGATAATGATGACGATAATGGTGATGATGACGACAATCATGATGATGATGATTATGATGATGATAATGATAATAGTAATAATGATGATGGTGATTATGATGGAGACAACGATGATAGAGATGATGATAATGATGATAATGACGATGGCAATGGTGATGATGACGACGACGATGATGATAAAGATAACGATGAAAATGATGATGATAATGATAATCATAACACTAACGCTAACGGTAACCTAACTACACTGACCACCATAGCCAAACTCACTGAAGACTAGTGAATGGGGCTGCCTCAGGATCGACTCTTACTGCCGGTTTGTTAGAACTGTGCGAGGCCCCACCCAAAGAATATTCGTATACTTGACATCCATAAATAAAGAAACAAATGCAAAATTTTCAGTCTAGACATGCATATCAACCCGGCAAATAGATGGTTAAGTGTATATCTACCATATTTGTGTATATATCTACCAGATATATACACAAATATGCCTTTACTTCTGCGTCTGTATTTATGAAAATTCATTGGGTCCGGCCTGGTACAATTTTAACAAACCGGCCGTTAAACTTCAATAAAAAAACTAATCACTAATTAAATTCTCTTCTTTCATTACATAAAGAATATACAATGAAAAAGAAATATTCAGAGATAATATCCTCATGGAGGCGCTTTGAGGTCTCTGCCATGACCCCCTGACCTAGGGCGTGTGTCACGACCCTCAAAATAAAGTAGAAAGTTCAGTTTTAAAGACGATTGACCTTGATTCCTTTAGGGGCATTAACGGAATTTGGATACCAAGGAAAAAGAAAAAAAATGTATATTGTTATGAACTAACTTTGTAGATATAAAAAGTATGGGAAAACCTTTCTATCCGTTAAAAAAAAAAAAAAAATAGTTTCTATGACTTTTGACCCCAGGCAATTCATATAATGTTAGAGGCCATATTTTATCAGTAGGAATGTATTCAAATATATATCTAGAAGCTAAAATACACATTTAAATATATATATATTATATATATATATATATATATATATATATATAATATATATATATATATTATATATATTATATATATATATATATATTATATATGTATGTATGTATGTATGTATGTATGTATGTATGTATGTATGTATGTATGTATATATATATGTATATATGTATATATATAATATATATATATATATATATATATATATATATATATAATATATAATTTATATATATTTATATATATATATACATATAATACATACATATATAATACATACATACATACATACATACATACATACGCTGAGTCAATCCACTGCAGGACGAAGGCTTTTCCCAATCTTTTCCAACTTTCTAGCGTTTTTGGCCCCAAATTTCGCTATTTCGTCACGCCATCGTGTCATGGCCTGGCTGTTGGCCTCTTTGTGTTCTCTGTAGTCCAGTCTGTTACTTTCTTTCTCCATCTGTCGTCTTGTCTCCGACATATGTGTGTGTGTGTGTGTGTGTGTGTGTGTGTGTGTGTGTGTGTGTGTGTGTGTGTGTGTGTGTGTGTGTGTGTGTGTGTGTGTGTGTGTGTGTGTGTCGCGGCGCGCGTGAGTGTGTATTCAAAGACGTAATGGCATATACAACCCGCGCCCCCCGAATCGAGAGCAACCGCAGAAGCAGATAAGCTGAGCGACCGCCGGGGAAGCATCGCGCGAGTTGCACCCGCGACCAGCGTGGGCGTCCGGGCGTGTGCAGCGGGCGCGCCTCGGATCACTTGGGCGCCGAAACACGAGAGCTGTGTTGTTCATCCTTTCCTCTGTGGAACGGATTAATTGACCTGGCCGGCGCTCATCTCCCCTTTTTTCCTCCCCCCCTTTTTCCTCGTTATTTTTCCTCCTGACTTTCCCTCTAACTAAAGTTTCCCCTCTGCCTTCGTAATCGGATGCAATATGGACCATTTATTTTCTTAATCGTGCTTTTAATTCGGTCGGCCATCTTATATTTCCATTAACAATTTAGGAGATTAAAATTTCCCCGCGAAAGGAATACGTAACACAGAGTAAAACAACAACAAAAATGGAAAATGCAGAAAATTCGCCAATTTCTGACCTGTTATCCACCGAGGTGTAAATAAAACAAAACCACTCTACAAAACCGGCGGCTTGATGAAAGTGGTTTAAAATAAACGGCCAAAACTTTTTTTATTTTATTTATTTATATATTTATTATTATTATTTTTTTTTTTTTTTGCATCGGTGTTTTCCATGTTCATTTCATTTTAAAATCGGAAAAAAATCTTTTTATCGCATCTCCATAATTGATCACTTTTCATCTAAGCATTTTTTTTTCTTTTTTCTTTTCACATACACAGGCACAAGTGGAAACTCAAGTGTGAGCAAGCTCATTTCCTCCATCCTTGAGACGTCCTTTAGTAGCTTTATGGCACACGGAGCCTTCCCCGCGCGCGTCGCGTCGCCGTCCTCCTCGCCGCCCTCGCCGTCCTCGCCGTCCCTGTTCCGTCTGGATATTGTCCCGGCTAAAATTCATTTCCATGCGTCCGGCTCATTCCATCATGGCCGACGTCGTTCTGCCTCAAAGCGATTGGATCTTTCCTTCGGCCGCCCTTCTGCAGGAGGGAGCAGGGTCTGCCGAGGAAGGTGGGCCGCGCGATCTAAATATAAAGCGGAGCGGAGGCCATCTCCCAAGTGGGCCGAGAAATGATGTATCAATAAGGCCCATCAGGCGGCTCCCCCTCGGCCGCCCTCGGGCACATGACACATAATGCAGATATTTCAGCCGGGCAATCAATGGTATT